TCTACTCAAACGGTAGTCAGTCTTCTCTTTGAACTATATCGCATGCGTACATACGAGCGTGCTCTTCGGGCCATATCCCATGCGTACAATACGAGCGTGCTCCTGTGGACCATATCGCATGCGTACAATTCCGAGAATACGTTTTTCGGCTTAGCCAAGCGGTGGACAATACCACTGGTATTATACCAGTCTCCCCCTCAGGAAGCACTCGAACCTCCCGCACAGTATCACGGTGCTCGGCTCCTCAAATGCCCATAATCATCTCATTCGTTCTTCTCTCATTTCTACCTTTGGTCAAGTGCTTGGATGAGGGAACTGTGGAGTTGGCTTTCATGGGTTTTCAACATAAGTAAGGTGGCAATCAGATCGTATTGCATTATGATGTTTTGATTTGCAGGTTCGGTAAAAATTACGAGTCTAAGGAGGAAGAAGTCAAAAGAAATGCCATCTTTCAAGCCAACCTCCATCTCATCGAGCAAGTCAACGCTAAAAGTGAGTAACATCATATCCGCCGTCAGCCGAGTGCCGAGCTATGCAGATCTGTCTTACAAGCTGGGCGTCAATGAGTATGCGGATCTCACACACGAGGAGTTCGCCGCTCTGAAGCTCGGCACTTTGAAGATGAGTACGAGGAGGGATGATGAGTTTGTTGTTGAAGGTAGGACCAGCTGAGCATGCCAGCTTGAGCCTCTTTGTTTCAGCTGACACTACACAGCTCCCAACTTCGGTGGATTGGAGAAATAAGAGTGTATTATCCCCAGTTAAGGATCAAGGTTCCTGTGGGAGCTGCTGGGCTTTCTCCGCGGCCGGTAATTTCCTTGGACGTGCTTGTGTGAATCTTTGCAATTTTCAGGTGCTCTCGAGGCGCAGTATGCCATTGCTACGGGTAAGCTCCGGCCACTCTCCGAGCAGCAGCTTGTGGATTGCAGTCACAAATATGGGACCAAGTAAGTGGCACCACATGCCTGTGTTTCTCATTGCATATTGATGCCATATTCTCTTGCATTTTCTCATTGCATTCTCTTGTGCATATTTCCTGTGGGAAACTTTTACACTGTTCTCATCTTAGCGGTTGCTTCGGAGGTTTCATGGCGGATGCTTATAAGTACATAAAGTCAGCTGGCCTCGATCAAGAGTCAACCTACCCTTATAAAGGTGTTAACGAGCCATGTCGCCCCCGTGAAAAAAAGGCTGACGGCATCCCGGTAAGATTTGTACTCGACAGTACTATCATCTTTTTTATAGGCTGGCGAGGTTACCGGCGTTAACCTGCTAGCTAAGACTGAGCAGAGCTTGATGAAAGCGCTGGCGGATGCTCCGGTCTCCGTCGCCATGTATGCCTCGGATTTTCTCTTCCACCTTTACCTTTCCGGAGTGTATTCGTCTAGTAAGATTTGCGCCCGATGCTGATGTGTACAGAATATTACGGGTTTTAGCAACCTGTAATGGAGAGATTGATCACGCTGTTGTGGCGGTTGGATATGGCGCCGACGAAGGATCAGAGTAAGATCGAATAATATAAATGTTCGCTGCAATTTTTGTCTTGTTGTCAGTTACTTCATTCTCAAAAATTCTTGGGGATCCTCATGGGGCATGGGTGGATACTTCTTTCTGAAGCGAGGAGTTGGCGGTCACGGTGAGCTTCGACACTCATCATGACATCCGCGAAATCGTCCTCTTCAGGTGAATGCAACATTCTCGAGTATATGGTTGTTCCGACGCTCAAGTCTCGCTAGATCCGCTGGAAGATTCAGTATCATCACGATTCGTCAATAGCCATCATGAGAATTTGCTCTCAATAATCGTTCGCCTTCATTGTGCGAGAATAATCCCTTCCCCTTACCCGATCTTCGCTCTATCAGAGTGAAACCTTCAGAGCACCAGATGTTAAAGGTTTTACATTTCACAGGGCATTGGGGGTTTTTATTTTTCCCAGTAAGTTCTCGTAAAACAGAGCTCGAGAGTTTCAGTATTTTGTTGTGTTTGATGAAGGAGTCGTTATAAGCAATATGAGGGAATGTCCACATGGTCAACTACATCCAGGGTTGGTTATTGCGTGAAAAATACTCATACTTTTCATGAATGAAATAAACGGCTTGAATTGAACGAAAAAAACGGAAAAATTGATAAAAATTCGGTTGTGATTCGCTTGTGGATACAAATGATCTTCATAGATGATATTCATCTCTCAGTAGAATCTACTGAGAAGTGAATGTCATCTAAGATGCTGAATCAGCATCTGTGGATGGAACTCGACTAAAGCGAGTAACATGAAGGTATAGTAAGTACGAGCGGATGTTCTAAGACAATTTCTTCCATACAAGGCAGTGTAAATGCCTTATCTTCAGAAGCCTACAGTGCTTGGTCTTACGGCTTCGTAGTACGAAGCCGTAGGACCAAACACTGCCTGAACATTTATCTGGTAAAAGAGAGATTTTCTTTCACCTCAATGGGGAGGCCACGTAAGAACGAACATCTCATTCACCAGTACTTCGTCGAAACCGGCTTTCGGAGAGGTTCTGGAGGATCCGACGAGAGAAAGGAAAATTATCGATGTGTACTATGCGGT